GGATAGCAGAGATACTCAGCAACATGCATTTAATTCTTGAGACAGAATTTTTTGCTTTTGTTTTTTGAGACAGAGTTTGGCTCTCTTTCCCAGGCCGTGAGACTAGAGCGGCGGCGACGCTCGGCGTACGCGCTGTCGTCACTCCGCAGCGGGGCAGCACCGGCTCCTCCCACGACGCTGCGGGTCCGGTTTCCGGCGGGAGAGCGGGCTGCCAGACCCGGGAAAGGGTCCCGCTTGTGCTAGGGACCTGTGGGCTGGCTGCACTGGCCACTGCGGGGTGCCGGCCAGAATGCCCCACTTGGAAAACGTGGTGCTTTGTCGCGAGTCTCAAGTGTCCACCTTGCAGTCCTTGTTTGGAGAGGTATTGTAGTTCAACTGTCTTCCAGATCCTGGAGACAGACGTTTCGGTAGTCTTACGACCTGTTCCAATTTTTTTTTTTTTTCGTGTTTGGATTGAGGGCCAAAAGGCCGTTTTTACGTTAAATAGGGGTGTTGTGGTTCTGTACTGCACCTTCACCCACAGTCTCTTCCGATTATTGAAGAGGAGACTGTCTAAGAAGGACCGGCCTGCACTACAGAACGTTGCCTAAGACGTGTTTGACACACGCCACACTTTTGAGAAGTTTGCCCACATTAGCTCCTAGAAGTTGCTTATCTTACCCCAGCCCAATGACATTTATGTAACAGATGTGTTTGCAGAGTGTTGTTTATTCAAATATAAGTTCACACGTTTCTGTGCGGTAGTTGGAGTGAGTCAAGTGTAGAGAGGTGGTTGCTTTCGAGGCCACTAAGGGGCAAAGCAGTGCTTCAGGTTTAAAAATTCACTGGCTTTTCCAGAATTGTAACAGTCCCGAAGAGGTCTAGTGTAAACTTTTCTCCTTAACTGATAGTTCACAGGATGCCCTAGAGAAGAGTTTGTCTTCTCTGGATGAACATAGTTACATAGGGAGTCCTTTCAATAGACAGAGGGTAGCATTCACCAATTCAAAATTTAACCTATTTTTGACTATTTTCTGGTGGTCTTTGATGTACTTTTTGATTCAGACTCATTAATCAGAATTGGAATTAATCAAACTTGGATCTTACCTGTGAAGAAAGTGAATGAGAATATAGGGTCATACTATATCCCCATCTTCTGGTTTGCTTTTTTAACTACAGTCATGTGTTGCTGTCACTTAATGAGGGGGATACGTCCTGAGAAATGCATCGTTAGGCAATTTAATCCCTGTGAATATCATAAAGTGTATTTACACAAACCTAGATGGTGTAGCCTGCTATACACCTAGGCTGTATGGTGTAGCCTATTCCTCCTACGCTATAAACCTCTACAGCGGTGCAACTCTACTGAATACCGTAGGCAGTTGTAACACAGTGATGTCTGCATCTAAACGTATCTAAACATAGAAAAGGTACAGCAAAAATAGGATATTATAATCTTATGAGACCACTGTTGTATATGTGGTCCATCTTTGAACACGTGACAGTACTTTCATCCAACTAGAAATACTGCATGGCAGTTTGAGGTGGCCTGTGAAGCATTAGTGGAAAAGTACTCCCCTTGTCTAAAGGGGCGCATTATTTAGGGAAGTTAGAGGTCAACAACTGCATCTTCAATTAATTTTCTATTTATAATGCTTTCAATTATAGTTATATTATTACTGGAGCATTTTCTTGATTATGTTCTCTGCATTTCATCTCTGGAACGCAGATCACTCCAACCAGAAATGCTCCTGCTGAAAAAGAACAATTGGCAAATAGGGATGAGTAGTATTGACTTAGTGGTGGATCACAGAAGGGTTTTTGACTTTTGCTCTTAATGAAAATTATGTTTAACAATATTTTATTATCAGTTCTGCAAGGTGCTGTGCATGTGGGAAATACAAAGAACTAATAGGAAAGAAATATAAAAAATTGGTTCATGTTTTTAAGAAGACTCATTTATTTGTTCAATAAATAAATATTTACTGAGCACCTTTTCTGTGGCAGGCACTAGCTTATTGCAGTTTACGTTAGCGAGATTTATAAAGGTGAAAGGTTAAATAACAGTGGAACAGTTCAATATAATTCTAGGTCACAATAAGAAAGATGTTATAAGGTATTATTAGGCAACAACAACATGTAATGGATAGCAGAGATACTCAGCAACATGCATTTAATTCTTGAGACAGAATTTTTTGCTTTTGTTTTTTGAGACAGAGTTTGGCTCTCTTTCCCAGGCTGAAGTGGCATGATCTTGGCTCACTGCAGCCTCTGCCTCCCAGGCTCAAGCAATCCTCCCACCTCAGCCTCCGAGTAGCTGGAACCACAGGTGTGTGCCACCAAGCCTGGCTATTTTTGTATTTTTCATAGAGATGGAGTTTCACTGTTTCCCAGGCGAACTCCTAAACTCAAGTGATCTGCCTGCCTTGCCCTCCCAAAGTGTAGGGATCACAGGCGTGAGCCACCACACCCTGCTGAGACAGAATTTTTGAGCCAGTTAATTTATATGATTGTTACATATAAACTTTAGAAAAGGGTTCATGTATTACATTACCTATTCATTTCCAGTAGATTTTTAGTTTATTTTTAGCAGTTGAGCTGCTTTTGCCATAGCTGTATGCCATTTAGAGTCTTTTTCCTGTGTAAATCTGAGTTCCTGATTTGTCTTGTAAAAGGAAATGTTTAACTTAGTGACTAGAATGTAATAGATGTTTGTGACTGTTGCTGTAATCGATGATAATTGAGACTCAGCTTCCTCATGGAAATTGCATAATCCCATTGTCTTATAATTATTTTTTTAAAAAATGTATTATTGAAAAATAGGCCGGGGCACAGTGGCTCACACCTGTAATCCCAGCACTTTGGGAGGCCAAGGCAGGTGGATCACCATGTCAGGAGTTCGAGACCAGCCTGACCAAAATGGTGAAACCCCATTGTAACTAAAAATACAAAAATTAGCTGGGCCTGGTGGCACGCACCTGTAATCCCAGCTACTCAGGAGGTTGAGGCAGGAGAATCACTCAAACCCAGGAGGCAGAGATTGAAGTGAGCCGAGATCGCGCCATTGCACTCCAGCCTGGATGACAGAGTGAGACTCCATCTCAAAAAAAAAAAATAGTATTATTTTTAAAAATCCAGTTTTCCTGTAATTATTTTTAAAATGTAATTCAGTTTTCCTATAATTATTTTTAAAATGTGATCCAATTTTCCTATAATTATTTAAAAATGTAGACTGTAATTTCCTCCAAAGTAGATAATGTCTTTTACTGATATTTGTACTTTTCAGTACCCCTTGGTTTTCAGCATTTAGTAGGTATCTAATGAAAGTGTTCATTTAAGTAATGAAGTATAAGTATTTGTAGTATTAACTAGACCAGAGAGACCATTGACAATGTTTACTTTTATCTAGCTGCTAACTTAATGTACTGCAGAAAGATCTTGCATGTATGTATTTTAAAATAAATGCTATGCAGATTTTATTAGTGTTTTATGTGATCTAATGTATGCATTTGTGCCAGCATTAGTGAGTGTGCATAGTTCAGAAGTAGTCTGTAAGTTTTCCTAAGAATGAGGACCCTTGAAATCCCTTTTAATCTTTTGATTATATGTACTTAATTTCATAGCATTAAAATGTACAGTGAAGTTGTGGCATCCCAGGAGATAAGAGTCTTTAAGAAGGAGTAATGTAAAAATGGAGTATGAACAAAATTATCCTTGAAAAATCTCTTAAATGTCCTATAAAGTTGAAAATACAAGTTTGTATATGTAAACCTGTACAATAATAAAAAATATAAATATATAGTACATAATAAAATATGCCAAATATGTTACAGAAATTTTAATTTCATAACAAAGAAAGTGCTTAGAGTTGAATTCAAGTAAGTTCAAAGTGTGTTGATTCATCCACAATATGCTCACTGTTAGGAATTTGGATTGAATATTTTACTTTTCCACATACAACTTTCTCACAAGTTGATAAGTGTTTATTTTCTATTTTGCATGTGCAGCCTCATATTTGTCTTTGTCTTTTCTCCCCTTAGAGACATCATTTTAGCTTTCCATCCATTTTTATTTATGGACATACTGCCAGTGGAAAGACCTATGTAACACAAACGTTGTTGAAAACTTTAGAGGTAAGAATAAAAATATTAAGTATTTCTTTGCCATTCTTTAATGTATAATATTGGTACTGAAGATTGTGAATCTCCACAAATACAAAATTGAACATACCACCTTCACATTGCTCTTCTTCCCATATTATCTTTCTCCATGAGTGAGCTACTGTAATTGACACAGTTGTCCAAACTTACACTTTCTTAACTGTTTCCTCATCTTCCCTCATTTAGTAAATCACATCAATAAACTTGATCTGTTGCTTCACATTCTTAAAATCATTTCTCCATCTACCTTAATCCTAGCCATTGCTGCTAGGATTTACATTTACCATTGTTTTTTTCCACGTATTTCTGTAAGCCTCTTATTTGCAGTCTTCACCCAGCAGCCAGGCCTTGCAAATCTTAAGATCTTCAGGACAGTGTTCAAGTAATTTGCCCAATGTATAAGACCTTTCCTGAGCTGAATTTATCTTTTATAACACAGTGGTTAAGTGGGCTGTAGAGTCTGGCAGACTCTTGTTCCTTTTTGGATTCACCAGTTAGTGCTTTCTCCATCTGCAAAGTTGGCTCATAGTGACAACATCTGGGATTAAGAGAATTAAATGTTAGTACATGGAAAGTGCTTTCTGTAGTACATAGTGCGTAGTAAGCACTCAATAAAGGTTAGCTGCTATTATTGATGAGTATTGCCATACTCCCTTTCATATCCTAAACCAGAGATGGGCAGTCTTTTTCTTAAGGGGCAGATAAGTAACATTTTGTACTTGTGGACCATGTAGTTTCTGTCTCACCTACTTGACTCTGCTGTATTGTGAAAGCACCCATGGGCATTCTCTGTGTGAATGGGCATGACTGTGTTTCAAAGCAACAGTGTGTACAAAAACAGGTGGCTAGCCCACAGGCTTTGGCTTGCTAACCCTGTCCTCTAGCTCTAAGGATGTGTGTTTAGGATGGCATACTGAACTGTGTATAGTTCCTGCTCTCTTACTTTCAAGCCATGGCACATGCTGCTCCCCTACTTGGAATGGGTTTCCTGTACTTGCTCTTCCTGTTACTTGGCAGATGCTTATTTATTTTGCCAGGTTTTCTTCTACTTATATTCTACAAAGTCTTTCCTGATCCTCTAGGCTGTATCAGATGCTCCCCTGTTTTGCAGCCTTAGCACCTTGTGCTTAATTCTGTCATAATATTTAGCCCTCTCAGCTATGATTTTGTGTTTGTGTTTCCCTGGCTTTAGATTGTGAGTTTCTTGAAATTATCCCCAGCACTAAGCACACTACTTGGCACATATTAACTTGTGGATTTTAGCTTATTAACTTGTGGATTTCAGCTTTTGATCCCAAAGATCAGCTGTGCATTTTAAAAGCACATATGCCTGGGCTGTATACTAGACTTCAGAATCTGAGTGTACAAGGTCTTGGTCCAGGCATTTGCATTTTAGAACCTGTTGAATGAAGTGCCCCCAAAATATGTGTTGAATAAAAGCAATAAAACCCAATAAGGAAGTTTTATATTTAAGGGCTGCATTCCATTTTTTTTTTTTTTTATCACATTGTAGTTTCTGCTGCTACTTAATCAGTGTAGTATATGATTATTGTTACTACTTCTGATACAGGGACTCAGACAGGCACTTAGAATATGCTGCCTTTAAAGGTCATGGATAGCACAAATGCTGTAAGCGAGACACTATTCATAACAGAGATATTGTGGACTGTTGTTCGTAAAGAAGTGAGAGTGAAGTGAGTTAGCAAATGCTGGTGAAACTGTCCCCAAGTAAGTTTAATGTGGCTTTAGTGACACTGTTATTCAGAGAACGAAAAGCTTCCTTATTGGATACAAGTTTATAAAATCACTAAAAATAGTTACAAATTCCATTATTTGTGCCAAATGCCACAAGTTGTCTTTCTCAGAATGAATCTGCTTTTGTGATCTTATTCTGAGGATAGACTGTATTTGTGAGCAAATCTCGTTTGTGTCCTTATTACTTCTGGAGTTATCTCATTTTGATATTTTGATAGTTTTTTAAATGAAGGGCTAGTTGTTTGTTTGTTTGTTTTTTGAAATGGAGTCTTGCTCTATTGCCCAGGTTGGAGTACAGTGGTATGATCACAGCTCATTGCAGCCGTGAATTCCTGGGCTCAAGTGATACTCCCACTTCAGCCTCCCAAGTAGCTGGGACTTACAGACGTACTCCACCAGGCCTGTCTAATTTTTTTTATTTTTTAAAGACGGAGTCTCACTGTGTTTCCCAGGCTGATCTTGAACTCCTGGGATCAAGTGATCCTCCCACCCCTCCTAAAGCACTGAGATTACAGGCGGGAGCAGTATGCCTAGTAAAGAGCTAGTGCTTACAGTCCTTATAGGAGGATTGCTATGGTTTCTAACTCTTAAAATTCTTTTTTTTTTTTTTGACTTAAGTTTATTCAAGGATATTATATTAAAGTTACAAGTGTGAAATTCCTATTAAGAATTTTAACATTCAAATATACTTAGATTTCTTTTTTTTTTTAAAACGAAGACAGAGTCTCGCTATATTGCCCAGGCTGGTCTTGAACTCTTGACCTCAAAGCCTTGGCATTACAGACATGAGCCACCATTCCTGGCTGATTTCTTTATAAGAATTCTTTATAGGAAAGTACAAGTTTGCTTTGAATTTCCATAAGAAAGAAATGGCAAGCTGAAAGAAATAATTGAAGAGAGTTTAATGAAGGGACAATTTTATAAAGGTTGAGGACATTTTATGGGAATCACTAAGGGATGATGGTATCCCAGGGCCTTTACCACCTCTAGGCCTGAAGGGACCATAGAAAGGAGCTGTTACTGGAACACTACAAGAGGTGTAACCTTAGAAGAGGGGCTGTCCAACTTGATCTTTGGTAAAAGAGTATCCACTGCCAAGCTAGGGCCGCTGAGGGGTCATGGTGGGAGTCAAGGAAATCAATATCCAAACATCTGTCCCACCATTCTCCCTTAGTCTCCTGCTGGTTCTTTCTATTGGCTTCTCCATCCACAGCCAGAAAGTAAGAGAGTCTGGGTGATGTAATTCTGTAGCTGTCAGGCTCTTGGGGCATGGGGTGGGGTTGGTGGGATGTAGATTTAGAAAGGCAAATGGAGTATATCAGCAGAGCCATTATTGTGTCTGTGTGTTTTCTTTTTTCCTTATAGTGTTTTGGTTTTCGTTTTCAGCTCCCACATGTCTTTGTGAATTGCGTTGAATGCTTTACCTTGAGGCTGCTTTTGGAACAAATTTTAAACAAATTGAATCATCTTAGTTCTTCAGAGGATGGATGTTCTACTGAAATAACCTGTGAAACATTTAATGATTTTGTTCGCTTGTTTAAACAAGTAACCGCAGCTGAAAATCTCAAGGATCAGACTGTATATATTGTAAGTAATTTCATTTGATTAGATCATCTCTTATGTTGAAAACCAATAATTTATTAGATCAATTTTCATATATTTGTTTTGAGTCTCATTATGTACAGTGCTCTGTGCCAGATGCTTTTGTATACAGAAATGTGTTAAACGTATTCCTTATCCAAGGGAAGCTTCATTTAATAGAAAAGGTATGACACATACATGTGACTACATGTAGGATGTGATAAGTGATTGTCACCAGATGCAAAGTATTGACTGTGTGTATCCAATAGAGCTTCATGAGGTATTAGCATTTGAGACAGACCTAAATGAATCAGAGTATTCTAGGAAAAAATTGAAGTAGAGGATTTTCAGATAGAATTATATAAGTAAAGGCATGCAGCTGAAAATGGAGACCAGAGAATACCAAATAGTCTAGTTTTAGTGGGTTATAAAGTATGAAGGGAGAAAAAGAAGACTGGAAGATAGGTTGGGGCAGATCATGGAAGGTCTAGAAAACTATACTAAAGCACTTTATTTAATTTCTTAGGGAGTGGACAGAAGGTAGTGAAGACCTTAGAGCAACAAATATGCCTGATTACTCTGAAGACATGTTAAAATGATCATCTTTGGAATTAGATAAGAACTAACCAAGACTGGATAGTTTATAAAGGAAAGAGGTTAATTGGCTTACAGTTCAGGATGGCTGGGGAGGCCTCAGGAAACTTATAATCAGCAGAAAGCAAAGGGGAAGCAAGGCATCTGCTTCACCAAGTGGGAGGAAGGAGAAGCTCCTCATAAAATCGTCAGATCTCATGATAACTCACTATCACAAGAACAGTATGGGGGAACCACCCCCATGATTCATTTACCTCCACCTGGTCTCTCCCTTGACACATGGGGATTATGGAGATTACAATTTAAGATGAGATTTGGATGGGGACACAAAGCCTGACCACACCATTCCACCCTTGGCCCCTCCCAAATCCCATGTCGGTTTCACATTTCAAAGCCAATTGTGCTGGGTAATTTATAAAGAAAAGACATTTATTTCTCACAGTTCTGGAGGTTAGGAAGTCAAAGGTTGAGGTCCCCGCATCTGGCAAGGTCCTTCTTGCTGCCTCCTCTCATGATGAATGGTAGAATTACAAGAGAGGACAAGGGTGAGAGCAAGAGGTGGCAGAAGTCCCTTTTATAACAAAGCCATTCCTTTGATAACAATATTAATTCATTGATGAGAACAGAGCCCTCATGACTTAATCGTCTTTTATGCAGCTCCACTTCCCAATACTGCCGCACTGGGGATTAAGTTCCAACACATGAACTTTGGGGAACATAATCAAATCATGTCATTTTGTAAAGGCTTTGTAAATGCATTTCTTCTTCTTCTTTTTTTTTTTTTAAAGGTTCTAGATAAAGCAGAGTATCTAAGAGATATGGAAGCAAATCTTTTGCCTGGATTTCTTAGATTACAAGAATTGGTAAGTAATGTGAGAGAGTGCTTTTTCCCCACAACTTAATCAATGGATTGTGTTGTAAAATTTTTTCATTTTGCTATTTGATAGGTGAGAATTAGTATTTTAATATAATTGTAGTTTGCATTTCTCTTATCAGTAAAGCTCAGTATTTTTTTCATAGTAAAATCAGTTAGTGATTTCATAGCATTTATTCTTCAATTATTTTAGCTTTTCCTCTCTAATTATGAAGCTACTGCTTTCTATTAAAAGTTTTTAGATGTTGCTAGAATAAATAGCAGAGGGCCAGACTTTAAAATCTCAAGGATTTTAAAATTTTCTTTGCATTTCAAAATAAGGATAATCTAAAATAAGAATAGCGTGGCTATTCTGGCTCATCTGGATTTCTATCTTATAACCTCAGTGTCAGAGTTTACTTTTGTATTTCAGTTTACTCTTGTGTTGGCTTCACAAAGTACAATAAGTCCTCACTTAACATCTCAGGAGATTCTTGGAAACTGCCACTTTAAGTGAAACAGCCTACAACAGGTTCTTCCTTACCTTCAGCATCATTTCATTATAACATTGTTGAGGAAAAAATTGGTTTCATTATATGTTGCGCTTAAAGTCAGTTTCTTAGAACCTATCAACAACATTAAGTGAAGGGTTACTAATTAATACTGCTGTGATTGTCATGGCCCAATAAGAAAAGAACAGGGGTGGACTTACTAGGCATTTGTGTCAGGTGAAAGCCAAATAATATCACAGATAAAACAGGGTTTTGTAATCGTTTGAATAAGGAAGATTGGTGAGAGAAATAGCTGTGGTTGTTTCCAGGTGGAACCATATTCACTGTATTCACAAAGGGAATAAAGATTTAGTTTGAGCGAAACAGTACTGTTCAATATATTCAGTTAATATTAATTTAAATTTTATTGGTTTTATGGTTTGTATTTATAAATTTATTTTGGTTTTATAATTTTATAAGTGCTTTGAGCATAAGCAGTTTATACCTACCTAATTTTATGTTTGTATGTGTTAAAGTATTAAGTAATATTATAATAAAGTAAATACTTGGGAAGAAGTGCTTAAAGCATATCTGCCTTTCAAAGTTAAATACATTATTCAAATTTGAGAATCTGCTAGAAGTTTAGAGAGGCCACTGAAATCATTGTGTGCCCAAGGCCGACTCCTGAAGTTTACTTTTAGTAATAGTTGAGGGAGGGGAGGTATAGAGAGGACAGGATAATAAGCGTAGCTATTGGTGGCCTATTCTGGAAGTTAACCTCACACAGTCTTGCTTTTCTTGGTTTCATTAACTCTTGACATTTTATTACTGAGACTCAAGACCTGTTTTCTTTGATTAGATGTCTCCTATTTCCTTTCCTTTTATTTGTTTGTTTCATTTGTATTTGCGGGTTTTTGCATATGCATCCACTATTTCCTATTGCTTTGCTCTAGAACTCACCATCTGGTATCCAGAGTGCATTATTGTCTTCTTGCCTTTCCAGTATAGATCACCCTATTTTTTCCTCCTTATGCCTAGTAATGGTGGTCATACATCCCTTTACAACAATTAGGACTTTTGACCATTTTTTAGTTTCAATTATAGAAATTGTTTGAAGAAAATTAAAAGATTTAGAGTAATCTCAGCTGAACTGGGAAAGAGAATTGTTTTGACATTTCTGGAACCATGCTTGATTTTTAAAAATGTATTTCATTTAAGAGAAATCTGGCAAAAGCATTTCTCATTTTTTTATATTAAGTAATTAAGTAAAAGGAAGTTTAAAATATGATGAATATCATATATACTGAAAGTACTTATCAGATGAATAGATAAGAACATTACCAACTTAAAATCTTACAGCTCGATAAATATCCTCTTTTTAGCCTCTCAATGTATTTAAACTGATTTTATAAAATGCTTTTAGGTAATCATTTTTATAGCAAAAACAATTCAGTAATTTGTTATCAGGATTGTGATTAGGGCATGTTATTTTACCGCTATAGAAATAAATTCAGAGATTCTTAAAAAAATTAGACCCAATGTGATGGCTAATGCCTGTAATTTCAGCACTTTGAGAGGCTGAGTCAGGAAGATCACTTGAGTCCAAGAGTTCAAGACCAGCCTGGGTAACATACAGAGACCCTGTCTTTACAAAAGATACAGAATTTAGTCAGGTATGGTGGCACATGTCCCAGCTACTTGAGAGATATAGGAGGATCACTTATGCCTGGGAGGTTGAGGCCACAGTGAGCTGTGATTATGCCACTGCACTCCAGCTTGGGTGTGTGACAGTTTGCAAATGGATGAACTCCTTGATTAGGTTTTCTAAATAAGGTTTATTAATATGCAAATAATTTGTTATAGGTTAGAACTTTGGGGGATTTATTTGAAAGAAAAATCCAAATGGAAATACTGCTCTGATTAAGATTTTTAAATACAAAATTACTTTTATTTCTTTCTTTTACAGGCTGACAGAAACGTGACTGTTCTCTTTCTCAGTGAAATTGTTTGGGAAAAGTTTCGTCCAAATACTGGATGCTTTGAGCCATTTGTCTTGTATTTCCCTGATTACAGCATAGGTAAACCTTAAAACATTGTTTTGGCAAATGTTATGCAGGAGAATAGTTTTTGTTGTTTGAAAGATCAAACTAGCATATTCAAATGGAAATACTTTGATAAAGTATTTGAATATCAAATGGGAATATCAAAGTATTAAACTGTTAAGATTTGCTGCCAATCTCAAATAAGATGTTTGTATTTCTGCACTTATAAAATTTACTTTGGAACTGTGAGAGATTATTGTATAATTACTAATTTTTTTTGGATGAGCAACTCTCGTATTTGTGCTAATGTATCTTCATTTTTTTAGTCAGTACATTAAGATGTATATGTAGTGTAATTATGACATCTGTACGAATAATCAGACTAGACTTGTAAAGCATATTAAGAGTGTGTTGAAATCTTCATTTACTGTATACTTGGGTTAAATACCATGTTGCGCTTACATCTTTTGATTTTATAAATCTCATTTTCTTTACTGTAACTCATATGATACCAATTACTAGCCCTTGTGTTTCTTATTTTCTTGGGGACTGCATTTAATCTTAAATTTCATAGATCCTGATGCTTTTGGTCTTTGAAAGAACACAGTAGCTTTTTGTGTTGCTGAATAGCTTTGTGGATTAATACTGGGCTGTCATACAGAGATGATACTTGGGATTCAGAGATTATAACTCTGAAGTGTAAGATGGTTAACAGTCTATAAAAAAAATAGCATTCCATGACCTTGGCCTCATTAACACTATCCCTCTGAACTAATCAGCTGTAAACATACATTAAGATTAACACATTTTTGTCTGTTTTCACCAGAACAGCAGTCAAATAACACCTTCTGTCTTAGCTAATTAGCTGAGTTTTTTTTTTTAACAGCAACCCAAAATAGATGGAGTCCTTAATGTCATTGATTTCTCATCCATAAAAATCCCAAAATAAAGGGTAGGAGGAAAAGTGATAAAGGATTTTATTTAAAAAAAAAAAAATTCTGTACCTATGTCAGCACTGTTCTTCATAGTTCAGTTTTTTTATGACCCACTTTAAGTACTGAAAAACTATTTAGAATTTAAGAAAATTATTTAAAAAGTAGATTTTATACATTTCAGTCAAGTTGAATTAATAATGTAAGTAATTATAGAATTAAATTTTTAAAATTCTATAATTTAAATTTATAGATTTAAAAATTTAAAAAGTAAAGATACAAAGCAGCATAGATAGAGGGTTTGAGGACAAAAGTAAATAAAATGGTCTTAGTAATTTTAGTGAGTATAGGATAATAGATTTTTGCAAAGTGTATAATAATGGAGCCAAGTTAAATTCTGATTATTAAATTTTAGGGCCTTTTTCATATTCAGTTTTTTTTTTTTTTAAAGCAGAAACACTGTAGTCAGACAAAAAGCCATTCAGAAGGGGAACGTTAATAGATAAGTTGAAATTATGGTTAAGTGTGGAACCAGGGCAAAGAGATTATCTAAGTGGTTAGTGTTATCCTGTCACAATAACTTGAAACATGTCATTTTCAGGAATATGGTGTCTGATTTTAAGGACAGCTGTCCTCTTAGCAGTTATGGCTAGGAGCCCAGTTTGGAAGTCTTGTTTTCTGGTCTTTACCTCATGCAGACTACTCATCTTTTGGTGATGGATATTTTTTCTTTAGAGAGATTATAATGTACTTGATTAGGTTTTTGGTTTAGTTATTGTGTTAGTTTGGATAGATTAAATTATGTTCTGATAACAATCTGAAATTTCAGTGATTACAGTTTCCTACTTAAGAACATTTGTACTGCTGTTGTCTTACTGAAGTAATCTATATTTATTATAAACCGTGTAATACTATATTATAAACCTCAACTATTATTATAAACCTCAGATGTTAAATATTATTATTTTGGTTTTAAAAAAATAACAGGACAAGAAAGAAAATAACTTTTATTGTTTATCCTGCTGGGGATTTGTTGAGTTCTTAAGTCTGTGGGTGTATAGTTTCATCAGCTTTGGAAAAATTTCGGACAGTATTTCTTCAGATATTTTGTCTGCCCACTCACCTTTTCTTCTCTATCTTTTTTGTGTGGAATTGCATTGTAATTGCATAATTGCATTATGTTAGAGCACTTTATATTGTCCTACTGAAAGTCTGTTTATTTAAATTTTAAATCTTTGTGTGTGTGTGTGTGTGTGTGTGTGTGTGTGTGTGTGTGTTTTATTTGGGTTTTTTTTTTGTATGTCTTTCAGTTCACTGGCTTTTTTTTTTTTTTTTTTACAAGTGTCTAGTGGGCAGCCAATCTCATCCTGTAGAATTTTCATTACTGATCTCATTATGCTTTTGTTTTCTTTTATATCCTTGAGCATATGAGCATATTTATAACAGTTGTTTTAATTTTCTTGTTTACTAATTCAATTACCTCTTTTGTTTCGGGTTTATTCCCTCCAACTAATTTTTCTCCATCTTGGGTATCCGTTATGCTTCTTCATGTGTCTAGTAGTTTTTTATTGAATTATAGACATTGTGTTTTTTATTGTGTTTTGGACTTTTTTCTCATTAGCATATTTAATTACTTACAGATACAGTTGACTCTTTTAAGGCTATTTTTAAACTTTTTTTGGAGAGATGATCCAGAGTAGCCATTATACCAGGGCTAATTTTAGCTCTACTTCTAAGACATAGTTTTTCTGGAATCTCTACTGAATGCCCTGTGTGTTTAGCATGGTCTCTGCCTTCTGACTAGTGGCAACGTGAAAAATTCACAGCCCTGTGTGAATTCTGGGAATTGACATATAGCTCTCCAATGATTGTTTTTTCCCTAAAAGTTGTTCTTGCATGGCTTTATAGGGTTTTACCCTATGCATACACAGATTGGTATTAAGCTAAGACTTGAGGGGAACCCCTGTACAGATTTCTGGAGCTCTTTTTTGGCACAGCTTCCTCGCCTGAGATACGCTGCCCTGCAAATTATAGCTATCTCAGCTCTCTCGGCTCTGGTCTCTGTCTCCTCAACGCATTAGGATAAATGAGCTCCTTTTGGAAGTCTCCTTGCACCACAGTCTTAAAATTAGCTCTTGTTAGAAAGCTTGGCTGATGGTAGGACTCACCTTATTTGTTTACCTTTTCTAAGGTATTACGGTCCGTTACTGCCATTTGTTTGATATTTGAAAATAGTTGTTTTCTATAGTGTGTCCAGTTTTTAATTGATTATTAGAGGAGGGTATTTCTGGATGCTCCTACTCCCTCACAACTGGAAGCAGAAGTTTCTCTGCAACTTAGGAGTGGCTTTTCTTTGCACATTAGCCTATACTTGGATAGTGAAATTTTAAGACCCAAGGAGACCAACCAGTGGGTTTCTCCTACCCTTTATTTACTACCCAATGATATGCTGTTTTCAGCTTTCTGATATAGATGGGATTTTTTTTTTCCATGAATTTGAATAGTCCTAGACTGTTAGAGCTGGCATGACTTGCTTATTATAGAGTTATACTCAGAGTTTTGTCTACAGTCTATAAACAAGTTGCTAGGTTACTTTTACAGCAACACAGTGAGGATTCCGATTCTTATAAGACTTTCATCAGGGCTGAAATGGGCCAGTGATAACGTCTAATCAACTTTCTTATGGGATACAGAGGGCTACGTATAAGGAACACCCAGATAGAGATGTTCAAGGGGTACTTAGAAGTGCAATCTGAGCTGGAGACTCAACTGTTTTCCAAATTTTCTTACCCATTCATTTATAGAAGTTTTTTCTTGTGTTTTTTTTTGTTGTTGTTGTTGGTTTTCCCCGCTTGTTCATCTCTGTGATCATTTATCTCTTCCCTCCATCTCTCTTTTCTTACATCCATCCAGTTATTTGGTAGGTTTTATAGGTAGATATCTTTGTTTCTAAGTTTTTTGGTACCTTTTAGAAATTTTCAATATATTAGCTATTTCCCCATGCCTAGTTAAAAAAACTTAGTGACATTATATTTAAAGTTTGCTGTTAGAATGTAAAAGTACATAGACTCCAAAGGGAAGTTTTGGCTTTTATTTTTATTTTTTTAGCAGTTTTGAAATAAAAAAGCAAATTCAGTAACAGTGTCTCATCTAGTATCCATTCAGGATAATATTCTAAGTATAAAACTAGGCTTTGAAGTTTTTTTTGTCAACTTCTGTGTTTAAATATTCCTTAATAGAGCTATTTCTAAACTTCTGTTTATAAATTTTCAGATCGTTTATATATATTTTTTGATCTTGTACCTGTGTCTAATTGATTCGCAGGCGCAAAAGTGATTAAAATCAATGGTAAATGGCCTTACTAAAAATACTAACTTACTGGGAACCTTAAACAAAAGGAAATTGACATGATTAGAATATCCTGGAAGAGTTTTTACCTGTAATTTTTGCAAAAAACTTGAGCCTTCTGAACTAGGTTTAAAGTTCTAGTCATACGCAAAGAGCTCTTAACTAAGAAGTCTAAGGAGACCATTGCACCAAGAAGTCAGAGGATCTTACGATAAGGAATGAATGTCTAATTGATTCCTGTATTATGACTGGGAAATTTTGAATAATATATGGTTGTTTCTCTTTAAATTTTACTGTGTTTCTAAAATATGATTATTTCCAGCAGGGTTAAGTATAAGGTTAGGACTCTTAACGTGATATTTTATAAAGAGCCTGAGATATAACAGAAGTAGAGTAAAGATATCAAAGTTGTAGGGAGAAAACATGTTTTATAAAAGGGGGAATAACAAAGTAAGGACTAGGATCAGGTGATGATTATTATAAAAAAATTAATTATTTTCATTTTACAAAACATGAGCATTTTCTAGTTTGTTGGCAGTTTATGTACTATACCCTTTTTTTTCCTAGTTGATTTACTTAATAGGAAGAAAAACTAGAATCTACAGTATTTTTTCCCTTGTTACTGATTTTGCCAGTCATAAGGTTCTTGAGATTTTCTTTAGCTGTCGTTGTTTTCTATTTGTCTTAATATTTAATAATTTTTTTTACAGTCAGTTTCAAAATTTCAATTACATTTTCAGAATTATTTTTACTCAAAACACTTCTGACACCAAATGTGTGGGGTATTTTTGTTCACCCAACAACAAATTCTTCAGTTCTCTAGATATCAAGTGGGTGTCCTAAAATTCAATTCACTTCTGACACTAACTACCAGAAGTTAGTGCAGACCTCACAAGTTAAGGACTTAGTCCTACAAGAATATTAGCACTTCAGACACCAGTCTAAGTCCCAGGTTTCTACCTGTACTCCTGAAAACTGGTTATAAATTGGGGTTTCACATGACCCCCTCCTCAGGTTTGATAATTTGCTAGAATGGCTCACCAAACTCAAAACAACTTTACTTACTCCGTTTATTGTAAAGGATACAAATGAACAGCCAGATGAACAGGTACACAGGATAAGGACCAGTGGGGTCCCACGCCTAGGAGCTTCTGTCCCTGTGGGGCTGGGGTGTGCTACCCTCTCAGCATGCGGATATATTTACTATCCTGGAAACTCTCAGAACCTCATCATTTAGGATTTTTTATGGAGGTGCCATTATATAGTCATGATTTGATTAAATCGTTGGTCATTGGTCGTGGATTCGATCTTTAGCCCTTCTCCTTTTCCCAAGGACAGGAGGTGGGGCCTTGATATGGTTTGGCTTTGTGTCCCCACCCAGATCTCATCTTGAATTATAATCCCATAATCCCCACATGTCATGGAGGGACCTGGTGGAAGGTAATAGAATCATGGGGGCGGTTCCTCCATGCTGTTCTCAAGACGCTGAGTTCTCACGAGCGCTGTTGGTTGTATAAGTGTCTGGCATTTCCCCTGCTGGCACTCATTCTCTCTCCTACTGCACTGTTAAGAGTGCCTTCCACCATGATTATAAGTTTCCTGAGGCCTCCCTAGCCATGCAGAACTGTGAGTCAATTAAACCTCTTTTCTTTATAAATTACCCAGTCATGGGTATTTCTTCACAGCAGTGTATGTGAGAATACAGGCCTCTAATCACTTGGTTGGTTCCTCTGACAACCAGTCCCCATCCTGAAGCTATCTAGGGGCCCACTGTATTAGTCCATTCTCACACTGCTATAAACATACCTGAGACTGGGTAATTTATAAATTTATAAAGAAAAGAGCTTTAATACACTCACAGTCTGTGCACTGTACAGGCTTCTGCTTCTGGGGAGGCCTCAGGAAACTTGCAGTCATGTTGGAAGGTGAAAGGGAAGCAAACACATCTTCACAGAGTCAGCAGGAGAGAGAGCCTGAGGGGAGAATTGCTGCACACTTTGAAACAACCAGATCTCATGAGAACTGTATCTCAAGAACAGCGAGGGGGAAGTCTGCTCCATGAGTCAGTCACCTCCTACCAGGCCCCTCCTCCAACATTGAAAATTTCAAATGAGATGTGGGTGGGGACACAGAGCCAAACCATATCACCCATCAAGAAACACCTCATTAGTATAAATCGAGGTATGTTTTAAAAGGGCTTCTTAGGAGTAACAAAAGATACTCCTCTTATCCTTCTCATTCAGGAAATTATGAGGGCTTTTAGAAGCTCTGTGCCAGGAACCGGGGTGAAGATCAAATACATATTTTTTATTATATCACAAATCACACTTTTCTATTCTAATCTTGTAATAGTTTTATTATTCCTTGATTATTGCTGGGTTTGGGTTTTTTTTTAATACCTTTGTTATAAAATGCTTGAAGATATGATTAGGGTACTGTGTTAATTATTACAAGTTATTTTGTGTCCTGTGAACAGGCAACCTTCAAAAGATCCTGTCCCATGATCATCCTCCAGAGTATTCAGCTGATTTCTATGCTGCCTACATTAACATTCTTCTTGGAGTTTTCTACACTGTTTGTCGAGATTTGAAAGAGCTCAGACATCTGGTAAATGAATATTTTGCTTGTATATATATATGTGTGTGTGTGTGTATAAATATATGTGTATATATATCTTTCAATGTTTTCCATGTAGAAATGGTGTGAGATAGGTTAGAAACTGAAATTTTATTCTGGAAATTTGCATATGGCCTCTTGAGGCTAACATACCGTAAGAAGGTAGATGTTTGTGATCAGAAAAATGTCATTCTCAGATCTTCTCACTCTTCCTTGTTTTTTCTCTAATTACAGAAAATGCAGAACTCCATTAAAATCAAAATGAGGAATAACAGAAAAGAGATGTAAAAATTTGAGCAGTTTTACAACTCTGTTAATATTTTGTAACAGATTTTGTTCAAGTTTTATGTATGCAGTGATTGAGGTCTAGAATCTAGATGGATTTGAGTATGGTCGGAAGCTTTCATTGCAGGTCTTTCATTAACCACTGACCCTGAGCTGGTAATCTTTGTATAGATGGTTCTTTTTAATTTTTTTTTTCAGCAATTAGAATAGCTGTTTATATATCATAGACAGTTTGGAAAATGTTGATGTTGAATTTTTCTTTGACCTTTTTTGTTTAATTGTGGGGATGGGAAAGGAAGGAGACAAGAATTTCTAGTTTCCCTTTTAGAAATCCTTAATTAATAATTAAGATCTTAGCTCCATTTAACAGAAAATAGTAATATATCTGAGGCTGGAAAACAGTCACTTTCAAAGTAACAGATTCTATGTCTCTTAGCACATTTTCTTCACTTTGTTCTTTTTCTCTTTCTGCCCTGAAAAGTGTTACTTAGTTTCAGTGTGTGTTTGAGACAGAACATAGAAGGCAACTATTTAAAATTACGCTCACATTTAGTATGTTTTTGAAAGTTTCAGATTTCAGGGCTCCTCTGATTTGCATGTAGATTTCAGACGACATCTCAGTTAGGAAAAAACAAAACTGTTTTTCCAGTTCCAGTTTATCACTGACATTCCTCTAGAGGTTGGATGTCTTGGAATCCCTGGCTTCTGAGGGAAATGGTAACACAAGAGACAGAGAGGAGAGGGTCAGGAAAACGCACCTGGGTGAGATGGACTTAGGAGCAAATAATCCTCCTCTGTCTTTACTGGAAAGTAACTTGCAGTTACCACTGTTTAGCACTCGAATCCTGTGGGAATCTGTGCTGGCAGCCATTTCAAAGTAGATTATAAAGTATAAGAAGAAAAAATTTAGGGAAAATATCTATGGGAAAATAAAATGTAAAGAGAGAAATATATATTTAAATATAGTATTTTTAAAAGTTCTTTGGGTTTCACTGAGGAATGATTTTATTTAGGGTAAGGTTACAGCTTTCTTAAAAATCATATTCATAAATGTGAAGTATGGTTTAAGTCTTATACTACTATTGGTAATAATAAATACAGAAAAGGATCCTTAAACATTAGAGAAAAATAGCACAGTGTTCTTAGTTTTCTCTATATATAGAACACAGAAAAATAAAGATACTCATTTTCCTTTTTTCTTCAGATATATAGTGTTGTTTGTGTTTGTCTCAAAGTTTGTAAGTGGCATATTTCTTGAAAGTTTATTAAATCGCCTGAAAAATATTCTTTTCAGGGATCTTTTCTAGAAAGATGCTTTATGAACTGATATTTCTGTATTTCCTAGAGGCTAGTTCTATAGGTAGCTTAAGATAGGAGAAAATAAAGTACTACTTTGATACTCATTTAGGTTTGTTTTCTCTAACAAACCTTATGATACTGCCTTTTTAACTGTTATTCATAAATTCTTAAACATATTTTAGTGTTTTAGTGTTTCAACCAAAAAGAAAATCAATACAGTTGCCCCTTAGTATACTTGGGGGATTGGTTCCAGGACCAGTCCCATGTATATCAAAATCTGAGCACACTCAAACCCTGCAATCAACTCTGCAGAACCTGAGTATACAAAAGTTAGCCCTCCATACACATGGGTTTTGCATTCCCTGAATACTATGTTTTTGATCTGTGTTTGTGATCTGCACTTGGTTGAAAAAAAAAAATCTGTGGACAAGTGGACCTTCACAGTTCAAACCTATGTTGTTCAAGGGTCAGTTGTTTATTTTGATAAGCCAAATTGTGTACCAGTAGCTGTTAACATTATGACACTTTGGTGTTATTAAACTATGCTTAGATCTGAAAATCTAAAATGACGGTAAGGAAGTTTGGCTGAAGCGAATAATGTCTTCTTGATTCTTCTTCTCTACACTTAATATTAACCAAATTTGGAAGATTTTTCTACTTTAAATAATTGTTTTTTATGCAGTAGAATAGGAAGAAATTAATGATTTGGTTCGTAGTTTTCTGTTATCTACTTATATAGTTACACATTTATATATATCTTTTTTCTATGCCTCATTGAATTATTTTGATACGAAATACTTAGGAACAAACATATATATATATATATATTTTTTTTTTTTTAAATAGAAGCAGTATGTTTTTAACCAGTTTGCTTAAACTACTGTTCAGTAGAATTCCAATGTTGATTCATAGAAAACTAATAAGTAGTTCTAATTAGTTAATTAGTACTCCTCAAACTTTAGAATACATAGAATTTCTAGAGAGATCGTTAAACATAGATTCCTGGGTCTCATCCTCAGAGATTCTGATTTGGTAGGCCTGAGATGATGCCAAGAACTTAGATTTATAACAATCTCAGGTAGTGCCACCAATCCAAATACTTTGAGTCATACGAAACTCGATGATGTTTAATTGATGAGAATGTTCAGACGTTAGAAAATAACAGTTAATTATTTGGGCTTGAGGTTTTTCATTATATGTTTTATGGTTCTGTATGACATAAATATAACCTAAAAGTACAAATTATGCTTTGTTACTGTAGGGAAGTTCATATTTTTACCCTGCAGTTTTGGTAATTTGAATCTATAAAACAAACTAATAATAGATTCATGGGAAAAAAGGCATACAAATTTATTTTTTAATTTTAATTTAATTTTATATTGAGTTCCAGGATACATGTGCAGGACGTGCAGGTTTGTTACATAGGTAAAATGTGTGCCATGGTGGTTTGCTGCACCTATCAACCCCTCACCTAGGTATGAAGTCCTGCATACATTAGCTGTTGCATACAAATTTATTAATATGCATATGGGCACAGGAGCCTTGCACAAAATATGAGACTCAAAAGGTGGGGAGTAGAAAGGGGGGCCAACTGATTCAAATTTTTATACCATCCTGAGGCTGCAGAAAATGGGCTTGGAGCATGGCATAACAGGTTATTGGAGGGAGAGGAGGAAAGACATGGTTAGGGAAGGCACTCTTGTTGTGCAAATGAAACCTCATAGGTAGCAACTTCCAGAAAGAATAGATGGTAGCCTGTGCTAAGTTTCTCTGTCAGACCTTCAAAGGTGTCAGACCCTCAAATCTCTTTCTTGAGAGTTAGTCTTTCCTAGATCCAAGGTGGGAGATGATCAGAGAAAGCCTGCTTGCATCTGCTGTTTTCTTATTTCCTCTACAGATGCAAATCTCCCTCACAAAAAGCAGCTTTTCAGGGCTATTCTTGTGCTTGCAACCCTTCTGATTAGCCGTATCAAAATATACCAAAGAAGTGTATTTTTGGTGAGACACTCCATTCTCCTAATTTTGTATACAGAGGCAGAATTTAGCCAATTAAAGAATATTTTGTGTTGTGCTATCATTATTGGTATTTTTGCTGTTTTGTTATAGTAATAAGCTACAATTACATTTTTTTTTAAGAAAGAATCAGGGTCTTGCCATGTTGTCCAGGCTGGAGTGCAATGGCTGTTTACAGGTGCAGTCACAGCACACTACAGTCTTGATCTCCTGGGCTCAAGTGATCCCCCTGCCTCAGCCTGAGTAACTGGGATTACAGGTGCATGCCACTACATATAATTACATTTGACTTGAGCAAATGTGTTTAAGTAAAATTTCTTGAATATTAATACAGATTTTACTTGAAAAATAAATGTCTAATTGTGATCGATCAGTGCTTTTCTCTTCCCTTTTTTTTTTCTTTACTTACAGGCAGTACTTAATTTTCCTAAATATTGTGAACCTGTGGTTAAAGGAGAAGGTAACTGTGTAATTTTACTCATTAATATTTATTTTGAGAAAGGTTTTTATAAGGTATAAATTACTGAAATTTTCTTCCCTTTGGGATAGCAAGTGAACGTGATACTCGCAAACTGTGGAGAAATATTGAACCTCATTTGAAGAAAGCCATGCAGACTGTTTATCTCAGGGAAGTATCAAGGTAATTTTCTATTTAGTATGCATACTATTTTTTATATCTTATTCAGGATATATACTCTCTCAACTGAAATAACAGAGAGAGGGACTCTAAAAGAAAACGATACCTGTTTGAGAATGGGCATTGCAATGGGAAAGCACATGCTGTAGTAAACTCTGCATCTTCAGGGAGGTAAAGGAAGACAAGGTTTTTAAAGGAAGAATGAAGTGAATTACATAATTGTTTTGAGATAATTATTCTTCACTACAAGGATCTGTTTCGGTTCAGAGCTGGACAGGCAGTTGCTGGGCAGATGTCCTCATGGAGGTATTTTTTTGTGTAAGATTGCATTAGCCTTTACACAAGGTTATGTTTTTTTTCTGTCTTTTGTAATAGTTCGTTTTATCAGGCATTATGCGTGAGGAGCCTTCGTGGCCTTTCTTGGCTCTGTTTGTCAGGATTTTTAACACGTGACTCCATTTTGATTCTGACAACTTTTACTTTTTCCCCTTTTAATCAAGATTTTTCTCCAAAAGCATTGCTCATCAGTCATCCTGTATTTAGGTTTTTATTGTCCCTTGGTGCCAGAACGGACCTGTCCTGGGTTGTTGTCTGGTCACTTGTTGAAGGGAGTGAATGGTGGCTAGGAGTCAGTGTCAGAACCCTTTTAGCCACAAGGGAGGTTTGAAGGGAGTGGCTAAGTCTACCTAGAGTCCGTTGTTAAGTTTAATTTTGTCTGTTCCATAGGTGTTGGCTATCATTGCAAAGTGCTTGGGCCAGCGTTGTTCTGTTAGGAGTTGTACTTCTGTAGAAATTGTTTTTTGAGACAGAGTTTCACTCTGTCGCTTAGGCTGGAGTGCAATGGCACAATCTTGGCTTACTGCAACCCCTGCCTCCCAGGTTCAAGCAAGTCTCCTGTCTCAGCCTCTTGAGTAGCTGGGATTACAGGCTTGCACCACCATGCCTTACTAATTTTTGTATTTTTAGTAGAGGCGGGGTTTCACCATGTTGGCCAGGCTGATCTCAAACTCCTGACCTCAGGTGATCCACCTGCCTCGGCCTCCCAAAGTGCTGGCGTTACAGACGTGAGCCACCGCACTTGGCCACTGCAGAAATTTGATGGGCAACAAGTACAAAGTTTACAAAAGAAGATACAAAGTAAAATGTATAGTAATATGGCAATCCTAGTTTGTATAGTGCTTTTGAGCTGTGAACCTCGGCTTAAAGGGAACCTACTGAGTAAATCAGATGACCACAGGGAGTTACATGAGACTTCTAACTATGTGGCCTCTTTTCTTATTTGGTTTATGTAGGTCTCAGCTTTCCCAGAGGAATTTATTCAGGTACAGCTTGTGGTATTAGCAGTAACACAGACATTTCCTTATGTAACCAATAGATACAGATCAGTTTTATCATCTAGTATCATATGACTGAGTTGAAATAAAGCAGAGTGAGCTACAATTATATGAGGGATATTGCCCAAGTTGCCCACTAGATGGACTAAAGAATCTTTTAGGTCAGGTTCCGTCAACTTACCAGCAGTAGCTACTGATTGTGAAATTTCAGTTATACCATTATCAAGTGAAAATGGTAGGCATTAAGAGGAGTAAGAGTCTCATTATGATGTGGAGTCTTGTTCTAATATCTTCGAAAAAACTGTTTCCACCATGAAACTGTTGACTTTTTATTCTGCTTTGTAGTTTGACTGTCTCTGATTATGGCATTTAGTGGTTTGTTGACCCTTCTGTGTTGTCCACACATCAGGTACAAGGTTTGTTCCTTAAAATTCATCCAGCTTCAATGTATAAGGCTTCAGGAACAGAGTAGTTCCCCTTTTTAGTAATTTTATAAAAGAAAGTTGGATTTGGGGATCCTAGAAGAATTTAGAATCTAGTCTAGGCTACAAGTTGATTATAAAAACTCAAATACGATGCGTAAAGCTACAAACTAATAACAGGTGCATTACAGGTTTTTTTTTTTTTTTTAAGAAACATAACCTTTTCTCTCTATGTTGATCACATAGGTATCTCAGATTTTAAAACTTCTTGAGTCTAGGAAGTCAAACCAAGGTCGACTTAAGATTTTATTTAATATCTACAATCTTTAGGTTCTTGGGCTTGCCAGGAAGTGGCATTTTTTACTCACTCACTGTAAGACTGGGAATCCTTGAAGCCAGGCAATTCTGTGCACATTTTCTAATGTGATATGACAGTCAAAGTCTTGGTAATATAACCAGTGTTTCCAATTACATCCTGTTACAAAGAGAGAGCAAATTCTTATTGAACTTAGTAAATAAACATATTTTCAAGGAGAAAAAAAGTCCCCATGAATAGTTTTTGAATTTTAGAGGGATGAAATAGGGAGAAAAAGCAGATGCTTCACCTTGGTTCACAAAATATACTTTACTAAATTGCTAATTAGCAGTTTCCTAAAACTATACAGGTAGCTTAAGAGAGAAAATTTTCTCGGCCGGGCGAGGTGGCTCAAGCCTGTAATCCCAGCACTTTGGGAGGCCGAGACGGGTGGATCAC